AAAGAGGGTAGATTTGGATTAGGTACCAGGAAGAAACTTTTTATTATGAGAGTGGTGAGACAGTGGAACAGGATGCCTATGATTGGTGTTGTTCAGGGCCAGGCTGGACGAGGCTTTGAGCAATCTGGTCTAACGGAAGGTGTTCCTGCCCATGGCAGGGGGGTTGGACTGGATGATCTCTGAAGGGGGGGTTGGAACTAGATGGTCTTTAAGGTCCCTTCCAACCCTAACCATTCTATGATTCTGTGGAATCAAAGCTGTTCAGTGTCTTTTTCTGCTAGGGAATATAAATTTTGCAAAATATCAGGATTAGACCAGTATATTGAGAACAGTAACTTCATTCTAAGATTGATTTCTCTATTGGGAAGTTGCTCTTTGTGTGTAAAACAATACAGAGCTATTGAACTCAGCAGATACATGTTACTTAACTGCAGCCTTGCAGAATTTCTGTCCTGTGCGTAACTTACAATTGGCAAGTGAAATCTCATCCATTCCCATAAAAGGGGAAAAGATAATCATATCAGACTCAAACCCTCCCCCTGTATAAGTTCTGGAGATGATTCGCAAGACATATTTGAGGGTTTTTTTCCACAGACTGAGAAGCTGCTTAAGGCACTGAACACAGAGGTGAGAAAAATTCCATGGATCTCCTTCCTTTCTTTTATGGAGACAAATATAACACATCAGTAAAGTCAAATCCCTACATCAAAAAGAATTACCAGCACTGATAAGGTGTCTATTTCTGCACCAATTGCTACTTCCATGTTATTGCTGGTGTTGTGATAAAGCAGCAACAAGATCAAATACTCTGTATGACATGTTTTTCCCAGGCTTTTAATTTCATTTTAGCATTCAACCAGTGCTATATAGAATTCAGAACTTTGGAAGCCTTAGGCTGAATGGGAGTTTTTCCACTGACCTTAGGAGATGACAGTTAAATAGAATTATCTGTTTTGATTTTAAGCTTAAGGTTTTTTAAAATACTAACCCAGAAGTAACTGGATTCCATCATTATAGTTGTTGTACTCTGTACCTCCTGTGATATGCCAAGTTGCTTTGTCCCAAAAACCCTTCCATCTCAACAGCAACCAACATATTGCAATATTTGGTTAATTTGCCTCAAAGTTATCTGAAAAGACTTTTTTAAGTGGCTTGTATTTGGATTACTCATAATCATAGAATCACAGAAGGGTTTGGGTTGGAAGGGACCTTAAAGACCATCTAGTTCCAACCCCCCTGCCATGGGCAGGGACACCTTCCACTAGACCAGGTTGCTCAAAGCCTCATCCAGCCTGGCCTTGAACACTTCCAGGGATGGGGCATCCACAGCTTCTCTGGGCAACCTGTTCCACGTGCCTCACCACTCTCTCCGGGAAGAACTTCTTCCTGAAAGAAGTTCAGGAAGAATGGAGAAACACTCCTTGCTTCCCAGGGGATAAGGATTTGCCAAAGACTTTATAAACGGAACTTTTAAGGGGCTGTTGGGAATAGACTGGACACAGCGTCATGTATCAAAACTCAGCCGTCCCACACACAAAGAAATGAGAATTAAAAGGCTTCAACAACAATACAAAATTGTAAAGAAATAGAGCTGCTACCCTCCATTTAATTTTTACTGATGGTTCATGACTGACATATTAAACAAAACCATCTGGAAGGTCAGGGTTACCTGTATAACACTCAGTACCTGTTCAGATAATAGACTTCTCAGTGAGAAGAACTAGCATCTTATAAAGATGAAAGAAGGAGCACAAGTAATTTTGTACTTAAAAGATGCTATCCAGATTTCAAAGAGGCAGATTTCAAAGTAAAGAGTACTATAGTCACTACAAATGTTTTGCTGTATTAATTAATAAAGAAAAATCAAATCATAAATAACATGTCAAGAGCAAGGATGAAACTTCCTAAACAAGATGGTACAAGAGAGAATTTTTAGAGGGTATTTTATGCCTAGTGCGTTAATAAGCATTTGCTCAGAAGTTTTGTTAGATAAATAAGCCCTCTAAACTGTATTCCACTGAGATCATATTTCAGAAACATTTACTAGTAGAATTATGAAAATAAAATTAAAAGTCCTGAATTTGGTATTTTTGAAGAAGGAAACACCTTAAGAAGTTATTCTGAAAAAATCCTCAAGATTTAATACACTTGAGAGAGAAGCTTCATTAGTGCTTTCTGGTTTTAGGTGCCTATTTTTAACCACCTCAATCCCTCAAAAATTTACATCAATGGAAAACAAAACAAACGAACAAATGAACAAACAAAAAGACAAACCGGTATCTTAGTTGTAACTTGAAGCCACGTATTTCCAGCACTCAGGACTCATGTTCTCTTCAGCATACCTCTATTCCCTCAAAACATGCAAAAACCCAAAACGCTAGATCCAAGACCACAAGGACAGGACTCCTATAGCAGTGCCCTTACCTGTGTGTTTTCGGAGGTGCTCTTTGAAATGTCCGAAGTGGTCAAACTGCTTGTCACAGTACTGGCATATATGTATTTTTTTGCCAGGTCTTTGCTTCTTGCTGGCACCACCTTCATCGAGGTGATAACAGGTGAGGTGCTGTTTCAAAGCACTCTCTCGTAGGTATCTTTTATTGCATATGTCACACTTGTAACTCTCAGTAGAGTGTGTTTTCATGTGCTCCTTAAAATGGTAAAACAACTTAAATGAACGGTTGCATTTCTCACAGTGGAATAAATTGTTCACATGTGACAGCTGAAGTTCCACAATTTCAATACCTTCTACCTGTTTGCATGAGGGATCATTTGCACTGTCACCTCCTTCTTGGATTTGGCATTTTCTCTCTCCCTGACGATACTTGCTGGTGATATCTGCCAAAAGAGCCAAAGCAGATTCATCTGATGTACCCGTTGTCTGTATGTACTTTATGGACTGCTCTGCAGAAGCTACTTCAAGTGTTTCCATGCTGTCATCTTCCACTTCAATCGTCCCTTCAGCAATCTCAACCTCAATCTCAACAGGCTCTGCTTCTGCAGATGGCAGTGATTCCGTGATAACATTAGAAGTTTCAGCTATCTTCCTCTTTTTTGGATTATTGTTACCTTGTGCTTGACTTGATTCTAAGGGCGATGAATTTTCTTTGTTCCTGTAAAGTATTTGTATAAACATGGTTAAGATCCATAAGCACTGACATTAACAGTTCCTGCCTAATACCAAGCTTCTGTATCCAACACTCTCCATCTGCTTCTCAAAGAAGCTGAATGACCACAAACTGCGTGCATGTCAGCCTAATTTGTCTTTATATTCCTTAGAGCTGAAAAATAGCATGGTTAAAGCTGCGGAGCCTTTGACATAAGGCTGCTGAAGTGTTTAATATAGCTCTGCTTGAATGATACAAACCACCTATCAGGCAAGAAGGGCCAGTAAACCTAAGAAGTTTTATCTAAGAAACCTGTGAAATTCTGTACTTGGAACGAAACTTTCCCTGAAGGAAGGAGTTCTTTGGCCTACCTACTTAAAAATTAGACTCAAGCCTTTCCTACGCTATTCACCTCTTATGCTCCGGAGTGTGTGCAACTGGCTGCATTGCTTATGCCTTGTCAGAAAACACTACAGCTCTGACTTCACCCAGTGGGTACTGTAACACCTCGTACTGCAGGAAAGCACACAGGTAACAACTGAGGTAAAAATAAAAGCCACCAGGATATGGAAGAGTATTTAGTGTCATTTTTCTTGGCTTAAACACAACCCCCAGCTCTGTTCCTGTTCTCCCTGCATCATACACACACAGTCCCTTCCTCCGAAGTGTCAGAGATTGCATCCCATCTCAAACACAGACAGAGCTCCGTGGGCAAGTACCACCAACAGATGCCCAGAGCCTGGAGAAGAATCACAGGTCACCGGGAGAGCACCTGGCAAGCAAGGGAATTCCAGCTGCTCCAGTACGCAAACCAACTTCATCCCGGGCCCATCTTACATGTCTCTACATGGATGCATGCAACGGGAATTAACAAGAGGAGTTAGAAGTGTGCGCACACCTGCGGGGCAATGACCTCATTGGTGTCGTGGAGACATGGTGGGATGGCTCCTACGACTGGAGTGTCAGACTGGAAGGGTACAGGCTATTCAGGAAGGGCAGGCAGGGGAGACATGGAGGGGGGGTTGCTCTCCATGTCAGAGACTGGGTGGAGTGCCTGGAACTCCACCTGGAGATGGATGAGGAACTGATCCAGAGCTTATGGGTCAGGATTAAAGGGAGCGCAGAGACAGGGGATACTGCAGTGGGAGTTTGCTAGAGGCCCCATGGCGAGGACGCGCAAGTGGACGAGGCCTTCTACAGACAGCCAGCAGCAGCCTCATGGTCACGAATCTTGGTCCTCATGGGAGACTTCAGCCA